TATTAGAAGATTGACCCATCCACAGATTATTGTATTGTTGCTAGCAGGCCGATATGAGCGCACTTTGACCTTGAGATTTGCGCATGTGCCAAGGTGCCGATTCGGTTCGGTTTGCAGACGGAAACAGGTCTGTTTATAAGAAACTAGTCGGTTAAACGAACCTGATTCTGTTAAACGGACCTACCTTTACTGAACAGAGCTGTTTCTATGGAACGAATCTGATTTTAATGAACAGACCTGTTTCTGTTTGACTGACCTGGTTTCGTTTCCGTCGACAAGCAGAACAAAATCGAATGACCTGGAAAGCATGCTCAGATCTCAAGGTTAAGGTGCGCTCATTTTGGCCTTATTATTTATATTTATTTGGACATTCTATTTGAATTTTTGTTAACGGGATACATAGCTCATAGCTGACACTATTGTCCAAAGAAAGAAACATTCATCGCTATTTTGTACACTAATAACAGCATGCTTATACGAGCGGTAAATTGCGGCAATTTTTTAAAGGTTGAAACACCTCCTCTTATTGGAACGTATTTGTTTATGTTTACTTTCAAATGTAGTATTTCTTGTAAAGCACATCCACTTTCTTCCTCCGTGTACTCTGAAACTTTACTCCGCAATTTATCGAGCACTTTGTTTTCGTACCACTCCGTAAATGTATACCCACGTCAATAATAACACTATTCGTTGAGAACATTAAATCGAGATTTTGTGGATTAATGAAATTACATACGAGAACTACATTTTTCCCACTTTTTCCACGAAAATAATGTACCTAAGCGTTTTGCCAAAAAATTAACGATCCTTGTAAGCGAAAAATTATCACTTTGCTCGGGTTAAAAATATATCAACGGCCGAAGTGAGGTAATCAGAAATTCTTTTGCAGTATATGCTCAAACCGTTTCTCCTCCAGCATCCTACTAGCCATATACTCTACCTACGCAGCATAAAGATTTCGAGAATGTTACGCGCTGTCATATATGTGAAAAACCTGTGGTGGAGAGGGAGATACGCTGTAGGGATCGTAATCATCAAGGGAAAGGGCTTTATCGAGGCGCTTCGCACTCTCGACGCAACTTAAACTATCAAGATAGCCCTGTAATTCCGATAGTATTTCACAATCTAAGTGGTTACTCTTTCCGATTTATCGATTCGTTCCGATTCATGAGCAGTAGTATTGGTAAATTATCGACATACTTTGGTCATGACCAGAAAACCATAACTAAATCCTAAAGTCATAGTGAAACTGAGTTCAATTTGCTAACGAGAAAAAAGTGTTTTCCTCTACGAATACTTGGATTGTTGAGAAATGTTAGGACGAACGTTTACACATACTTTCATTTGGTAGTTTTTCCCCCTGTTCCGGCGCTTATCTTCCAGATAAAGCTATATGTAAAGTACTGTAAATGTTTATTGATTTGTATAAAAATAACGATCGGTTCTCTTTGAGAAAGTGCGTAAAATAGTATATTATATTATAAGGAGCTAAAGTGATACTTTTTATAGCGAGTCAGTGTTTGATACAGCACAGCAAAATATTGCCGAGGCATAAGAAGTTACTTTCAGCTTCGCATTATATGATATTTTTCTTCAAAAATTGGAAGAAACATTAACCCTATCATTATGGGTAGCCGTGGGCGCGTCGCTCTTTAGTATGTGCCCTGGCATTGGCAGCATATAAAAAAGTACTTGTTGCCGTTGACAGACGTCTAAAATATCAAACTTTTGAAAAATTGTCATGTTTTATTGACGTTTGAAGAAAAAAAGTTTTATTGAAAGTAGTAATAAAAAAGTGCTTGGGGAATTAGCTGATTGGAGTCAGTTTAAATGAGAATATTCTTATGAATGAGTTAAATTTTTTTAGCTATAAGATGTTTAGTCTTGTATAAAATCACCATATGTCCTATTATTGTTGAGGGTTAATTAGGGGTAAGTAATCGCGTTTTTATTATTATTATTAGATTTTGGTAATTATAAGGGTGGTCTTGAAATTAAGGGTTTCTTGAGTCTTGAGAATTATGAACCATACGAAGAGCGGTGGTTACTCCAAATTTTTGTTGCTTTATTGAAATATAACTACTTATTATAATGGATATGAAAATTAAAGTGACAGTTATTGCTAGAAATCTGTAGACCATCGTAGGAAACTTGAGGACCATAGCACCTGTGAATATTACACTTTATGAAGGATCCTGTGGCTATGGATGTTGTAATTTTAGCGTTTTCATCGGAACTTTGAAATAGTTGTTTGGTGATTTTTAATCGCTTCGAAACTTTGGTCCATTATGAATTGGGCGATTACATTTTCGATTTTCCCTTTACGTACGCTAATAACATGTCTTCATTTACTAAATGGATCCTCTTAATAATCTTAAGCCATTACTTGAAATCTTCATATTCTTTATGATATCGCTCCCTCTTTTTTCTGGTAGCAAATCGACACTTGCAGCCATGGAATCTGCTAATACGTCTGGAGGAATATTGATATTTCCTTCAATTTCGTGCATATTTTTGGAAAAACGTCATACAGCTTCTCAGCACGCGTTTTTAATGAATTGTTTACTTTTAAGTAGTTGCGTCCATGACAACCGCTAACATGTGACCATAAGCATACCATGATCAAGATAATTATTATATTTAACTATTACGAAAAGATGGATCTTTTAGTCCAGTCAAATAAGAAAAAATAAAAACATTAATCGGTAAAGATCTGAAATTTTGGTACACATGTTCATTAGTGTTCCCCATTGGACATACTAAAAGTCCCCGTCAAAATCTGTTGCGCTCGAGGCGCCATCCTGGAAAAAAGGAGCAGTTTTTCAGTTTCTTGCCTATATATCGGCAACAATTATTGATACGGAAAAATAGTTCAGATAAAAAATATAGTTTATTAAATTGCCCATAAAAAAGCATATTAACATTTTTCTGTATGCCCAATACTTTAGCTATAATCGGACATCGAATAGGGAATCAAGTATCCTGAGCTCTCGAAACAGTCGCGCAGATATTTTTTTACAACTTTTTACAAATCATTAAAAATTCATTGAAAATTCTACCAGTATTTCTTATATATGCGAAGTCGTCGCACTCAAGCTTGGTATGAGACACGTTTAGTAAGGTTTCTCATAAAACTCTCTCTCAATAGAACTTTCATCTTCAATGTGAGCACTGAGTGTCCGAACAGGGTCAAGGTCATTCTGAAGGTCTGATAACGATGTCGGTTTTAATATCTCTCACTAGCAGGCACGTTATACTTATGCAGATAAGGGCGTTCTTCAGCTTCAGAAATCATTTCGTTGCTCCAACACTTTTACACATTTTCGCTTACCTTTTTGAAAAAAACATGATGTATCATCAAACATTATGTCATTGGTAGAATGCTTTATCGCACGACGATTCTGTTCATTTTTTGGCTCTATTACAGCTATCGATGTAGTCATAAAAAAGACGGCCTCCTATAATTACGATACGGGGCCTAAACGCGTTCTGACGTATTCAACGTGAGATTACAGCTAAAGTACTGGAGATACAAAAAAAATGTAAATACTCTTTTTTATAGGGAATTTAGTAAACTATATTTTTCATGTAAACTATTTCTTCGTGTCAGTAATAATTGCCGAGACATGGGAAAAAAACTGGAAAAGTGTACCGTTTTTCCAAGATGGCGTCTCGAGCGCAACAGATTTTGACAGGGACTTTTAATATGTTCAATAGAAAGTCCCAATAAATGTGTATACCAAAATTCAGATCTTTACCAATTAATGTTTTTATTTGTCCAAAATTGCGCTAATTTGACTGGACTATTTATGGAAGTCAAAATATATAATTTCCAGATGATGGGATGACGAAAAATCTTGAACGACACACGGCCGATACGCAAATAACGGACTGGGTTGAATATAAACCTCGGCTGACGCCTCGGTTTACAAACTTCAACCACGTCCGTTATTTGCTACATATCGGCCTTATGACGTTAATAACTATAATGGGTGATAGGTGTCATTTTTTGATGATTTGGATCCTCTAGCAATCAAGTTATGAGAACCGCTAAGTGAACAAGTTTGAAATCAGCGGTTTTTCCCTAATGGGTTTTGAAAGCGTGGGATTCGTTAAAGGGGGCGTAGTTTATTGGCTCAACGACTAAAGATGGCTGCCGATTCCAATTAGCACCATTTTGAAGGTGTGGTTGTGAAAATTGAGAAAGTAGGAATGAAGCAAAGAGAGATTTTTGGAATTATTATGCGGGTAGCCGCGAGGCAGTAGACTTCGTAAGCGCGATCACACATTTATTATGCAGGTAGCAGTGAAGCAGTATGGTAACGTTTCCGTCTTTGGCTTTGAAATGGTTAGCCTGCACGTTCCGAAATACATTAAGCCTTCCACAGCACGAGAATCCAAGTCCGCCGAGATTCAGAAGAAATCGATCAATCTTCTACAAAGGAACAATTTTTGAGATCAGTATAATAATGTGGGTGATGGTGAACTCATTTTTTATAGTGTTGTATTCAATCCATTTCCGTGACTTTAAAGGCAAAAAGGTCAGATTTGCTGATTTTTGTGTATCTCGAACTGTCGTAAAACCCCTGTCGTAGGTACATTTTGAGATACATTCTATATCGTCGCAGTAAAAAATCAAAATTTAATAACGCGGTAAAGCATTTTCAACCCTTAAATGGTACAAATGTCGATAATTTCGGTAGAGAATTAACATGGTTTTTTATTGTGTCAAGTACCTATATTTGACTGTTAGTGTCATGATGGTCGTTTTTGGGAGCTTCAACAATTTGACTTCTTGTCTGGCAGGTACTGCTTGAGAGATTTGATTGTTTATATTTTTACGTATCTACTGCTCATACTCAGACTTCGCACTACTTTACGCGAAACTTTTCAAATTGTGCTACATTGTCATTGCACGAAATAAGTACCTGAGGTTTTTATCTATAACTAGAAGTTTCATGCAATCAATTTTTTTATCTTGCTATAGATAACAGCTGTACCTATTAACGACCTATAATAGCATAAAAAAATAATTCCGTTCTGCTTTCGTAACGGAGCATTCTCGCTCACTACATCTTCACCATGTCTTTACCGGCAGCGTATGCTGAACTATTTAAGTGAGTGTTGTCGTGTTAGTATTAGTGATATCTATCTACCTGTAATTGTTCACTTTTAGATACATTGATTCGCATAGCAGCGAGTACATTGAAACACTTCGAGAAGCTGTTGCTATTCAATCTGTATCTGCATCAGCTGAACGTCGGCAAGACACGTGTCGGATGGTCGACTGGACTGCGGAAAGGTTGCGAAATGCGAGATGCGACGTAGTGATTAAGGATATAGGGTACGAAAAATTGGCTGATGGAAGTGAAATTCCGTTGCCTCCGGTCATTTTTGCAACTTTGGGAAGTGACAAGAACAAAAAGACTATTTGTATTTACGGTCATTTGGACGTTCAACCTGCTTCGGTGGGGGACGGATGGGATTCTGATCCTTTTACTTTGACTGAACGCGATGGTAAATTGTACGGACGTGGTGCAACCGACGACAAAGGGCCGGTCTTGTGTTGGATTCACGCGATTGAAGCATATCATGCTATGGGAGTGGAAATACCGGTGAATATCAAATTTGTTTTTGAATCAATGGAAGAGTCTGCCAGTGTGGGTTTAGAAGAATTGCTAACTCAGGAAAAAAATACTTACTTTTCCGACATTGACTACGTATGCGTTTCTGATAATTATTGGGTTGGTACCCAAACGCCTAGTATTACGTATGGTTTAAGAGGAAATTGTGCTTTCCAAGTTGAAGTTGAATGCGCCAAGCAAGATCTGCACAGTGGAGTGCATGGAGGGACAGTGTAAGTAGATACCTTTAGGGCATCTTAGAGTTCACTTACCATAAATTTCTAGACACGAAGCAATGGCCGATTTAATTTATCTTCTAGATTCCTTAACCGACAACGAAGGTAATATACCAATCCCGAATTTTAGCAAGAGCGTTGCACCTCTAACAGAAGAGGAGAAGAGTTTATACGATCCCATTACCTTCGATGTTAATGAATGCCGCAAAACAATCGGCTGTAATAAATTGCGCCATAATGAGGATAAGGTACAGTTACTAATGCATCGTTGGCGCTATCCCGCACTTTCGATTCATGGAATTGAAGGGGCATTTAGCGGTTCCGGTTCAAAAACTGTAATTCCAAAGAAAGTTATTGGAAAATTTTCAATCAGAATTGTACCAAATCAGGAAACGGATGAGGTGAACGAGATGGTTGTTGCCTATTTGGGCGATAAGTGGAAAGAACGTGGCAGCCCAAACAATTTTAAAGTACGTCACCTCCACTACCGCTGGTACTTGTTTCAGTATTGTAATTTAGGTAATCGTGGAACGTTCGGGAAAACATTGGTCCGAAGACCCTTTCCATCCTCATTACACGGCGGCCCGTGAAGCAACGAGGCACGTGTACGGAGTGGAGCCTGATTTAACGCGAGAAGGTGGGTCTATAGCTATAGTAGCGGATTTGAAGCGCGTTTTACAAAAGAACATCGTGTTGTTGCCCGTCGGAACAGGCGATGACGGCGCTCACGCCGAAAATGAAAAGATCAATATAAGAAATTACATAGAAGGAGTGAGTATAGCAGATACATTAGTTGTAATATGATTTTATTTAATTATTTTCAGACGAAGATGTTCTTGGCCTACATGTACGAGGTGGCACAAATTTAATATCATATAATTATATCGCTGAGTGAGTCAGGGGAGGGGGAAGAAAGCTTGTTACTGTTGTACTTTCTCTGTTAAATTAAATACAAAACCTTTAACATATTTATGTAACGCTTGCGGCCTTTTTAAGTATAACAATTCCCAAAAAACATCAAACAAATACAAAAATTGAGTTATAATTGAAGAACAAATTGCAAAGGAGTAGAAGAATCGATGGAAGGCAGTGGTAATAAAGGATATCAGGTATTAGGGGGTTGTAAAGGTCCTTTTTTTAGTTTTTTTTATATATATTTATCTTTCTCTCCACAAATTCTGCATTTCCTTCTATTCTTGACTCTTCTTTCCCTCTCTCCTCATTTCCGCATCTAAACCTTGCTATTATCTTAATATTTTTATTTCCCTCCTTAGGTATTTCACCAACCAGTCCCTTATGAGCTCTCCGTTACTGTACGTGTGTATCAATCTCCCTTTTTGTCAGTTTATGTCGTTTCCCCTATTTTTCTCCTACTTTCGACCTTAGTCCATCCGTATCAATTTCTTTAATAGTATTGTTTCCTTCGTTCTTCCCAAATTCCTTTCGTGATCATTCTTGTTGACAAGCATTCCTTCAGTAATTCGCCTTCTCTTTCTCTCCATTCCTTGCATCTTACCGCCCTGCGTCCCGACGTTATCCTTATCTTCTCCATTTTTGTTTCTTCACCTCCTTTCGTTTAGACCCTATACCCATTCTTAATATATTTTTTGTATTCCTTCTGGTTCACCCCATTCGTTCAACCCCCATATCTCTGTTCCGAACATAAGAACGTCTCTCACCACTGCATCATAAAGCTATTTCCTTGTTCTAAAATTCTACAATATCTTCCCACTGCGATCCCTCAATATTTTTGTTCCATGTCTCTTATTACTATTAATTAAATAAGATGGACATCGCTGTCTCAGTCCATACATGACTCCGATCCTTACCCTCATTCTTGTCCCTCTGTCCTTTACCTTGTGGTATATTTTCCATACTTTCTTTTCCACTCTGTCACACGCTGCCTTTAAATCTATGACAAGCCTTTCCACCCTTTTTTTCTAATTCTTTTCCAATCCAATCTGTGCAGTACATATATACAGTCGACCATTTCCCTCCCTTTTTTGAGTTCCATTTATGTTTACTCCAACATCCTTTTCTCTTTCATTTCTCTTTCCGACCTTTCATTCAATACAATTGCATATATTCTGTACGCGTCATCATTATCGTGATTACCCTACATTTTCCATACAGTATTTATCACCTTTTTGGTAGATCAACCCTTCCTTCTATTCTTCCGGTAGTTCCCCTCCCTTGCATATCGTGTTTTATTACCTAGTTTCCTCATTTTTTCCTTGATACTTGATTTGAGATAAAAATCCAAGCCACATTTACTATTTCATCCTTACCTGCCGAACCTCTTCTTGAATCTCTTCCCTTTCCACCTCCTCTATCACCACCCCTTTCTCCTGCTTTCCTTGTAGTACCTTAATATCCCACTTGTTCTAGTTTCCCGTTTCCTGTGTTTATCATCTTCCAAAAGTCCTTCTCTGTTTTTATTTCTCCTGATTTCTTGTTCGTATTCTTTCAGTTTCTTTCGTACCTTTTAGCGCATTTTTTAAAAATTAAAAAAATGTGCCATTGTTTGCGTTTTGTCTGTCCGTCCTTCTCGACCCACTTCTGCGGTTTTGAACTACTTTTAAAGGAATACTGTCCTGGAATTTGTTTGCAATATGTAGTGTGACGGTGTGCCAGAGGCCCATCAAATTTTGTTGTCTTGTGCCCCCCCTCCATAAATTATTCTTTTGAAAATGGGAGATAAAGGTCTCAACAAAAGGAACCAAAGGTACCAACTACCAACCTTCTTTCCTACTCCTTTTCAAAATAGGGGGGGTCCTTCATGGTACTCTAATGAAAGGTCGCAATTAAAGGAATTATTTTCTCCCAACCATAGTCCTCTTCCTTGGCACCTTATCGTAATCAGTAATAATTCCTTATATCTCAAGAGCGGAGGGTACTTACAAAGAGCGATTCTCCAAGAAATATGAAACTGTCATCTGGGACCGAAATAAAAATCCTTTCAGGTCGATTTCTGCAAATGCAAAAGTTTTCCTTTACTTGTGCTTTGTTTGAAGCCTTCACAAACGCGTGTAATTGAGGTGCATTTCTAAATCTGTTCCATTCTCAATCGCAGCATTGTTTGAAGTTTTAAATGAATGCAAGATAGAAGATTTAATTAATACCTTTGACATTTACTTCATACATACCAGCATTATCGATGCATTTAAGACATTGTTCGTAACACGTTTCCTATCCATTTACGAAAACAACTTTTCTTATTCTTTATAATAGGCTTTACTAGATTTGGCTTTTGCACATACCAACTTTTTTTCTGCTTTTGCAACAAGCCAGAACGGGTTTTCGAGTATAACGTCAATATGATTTTATTTTATTTCTCTTATTTATACATTATATTGCAGGTATAATAAAAAAATACTATACGAAACACGTGTATAATAATTGGTCTACGCGTCGTGCTACTAAACTAGTTGCGCGTGTTTGAAAGACTTGTCTTAATATAGTATGTCTTAGGACTCGCCTTTCGGCATAACCTCTAGAACAGTTGGGCCTGTTCAGCTATTCGGTTGTCCCTCTTCTGGCTCAATGCCACCTTAAAAGCACCGCCTTTCACTGACTACAGCATCGACGAACTTCATTATCCTCAATGGTAGACGTCTCACTGATCAAATATGAAACAAGAAACAGGTATGGACGACGGTAGCCCATTTTTCATCCGTAGATTTGTATCTAACTCGACCGTATTGGGGTAGTGCTACTTGACCAGAAGATTTAGCTCCTGTACATCAATGCATTGTGTTTTGCAGTTTTCCCGGCGATACTGGTAAATAAATAAGAGCTTGCTCTACCAACTTAAAATAAAAGTGATGTGACAGGATGACCACAAAATCTAGTTCCTGTGTTTGACCTTTTCGCCGGCCAAATTAGTGTATAATTGAGAATTCTGCCATCAACAGCATAGTTTAGTATCCTAGTGAGTAGTAATATGTTTTCATTGGCTTTAAAGTCAAGATGATGCCCTTATACCAAATTGAAAGAAACATTTTTCGTAAAGGTTCATAGAGGTCGCCGAAAAATAAAATGGTAAATATAAGATTTATCAAATCCTTCACATACAAAATCCGCTTGAAAGTCCGAACATGTAATATAAATGCTTTATCCCCCGAGCTGTCACTTAAAAATGTCCTGTAATATACGATTCCAGGAATATTTAAGCAGAAATAAATGAAAAAAGTACTCGTCTACAATGAGAGTTGAAACAAAACTTTCTTGACAAATTCAATAAAACTGTCGTTTAGTTTTCAAGTGTAATTTAATTGAGGCGACATCTTCAAAAGTGTTTAATTAAATTTCTCCACGGTTCGATGATGACCGGTTAGGTCGAAACATTTTATTCATTTTAATGAATAGCTAAACGATTTTTGTTTATAACGCCCAGGTCGCTTGTCACCAAAAAAGCTTTTACGTCGAGTACTTTTCCATTTAGAGAAAAAAACGTCAAAGATAAACTCTGGTCCGTTACGTATGTAGGTCAAGAGCGAAACGAATTTTTCATGGTTCAAAGTCGACCTAAAGGACGGTCTTGATTTAAGAGCTTTCAAGAGAATTAGCATTTCTTAATTCCACCACGAGTTGGCCACCATTAAGGGATTGTCGCCACAATCGCCGACTTATTTCAGGGATATTTGGCCCAATTTGGGTATTGTCGACCGCAGCAGGAGCATAGCTATACATTGCACGTGCGGCCCGTGTTATTTGCAAGGTCATTGTCATAACAACAAAGAGGGTTGCAACCACATACAATATTTATATAGAGTTAATCTAGTGCACGAGGCAAGTGGAGCAAATCGATAATTTTGTATACGTACTGGCGCCGGTCGTCGGGCGGGACTCCCAAATAAGTTAGCCCTTGAATTTGCCATAACAAATTTCGGTGGGTGGTCTATTTCGAAGCTTGATGGTTATTTACGCGTTTCGGATTCGATCGATTTGAACCTGAAATTAATGTCCAAAAGAAAGCTGTTTACGTAACGAATAATCTATTTAATAAAACGTGGGGGCATATTTCTCTCTCGGGTTGGTAGAGAAGGAAAATCAGTGATTTAAAAGTACCTAATCCGATTGTTGCTATTTAGTAAAATTTGGAGCACGGGCCAAAATGAGGACGTTGAGGGAAGATATCCTTGAGTGAACACAAAAAATACAAAGGTTTGGTCATTTGATATACAGGGTAAGTAAAAAATCCCGGAGAGGTGAATCATCTCCGCTATGTATGAAAAATTTTTTTAAAAAATAATTCATGTGCCTATTAATATAACGTAAACACTGTGTCCAAGATAAGAACGTCTCTCATAGGGATCTCGGAAACCATAGACATAGAGGATACGACCATGGTTAAATTTGTGAAAATTTGAGCAATTAAACAGTTATTATCATGCTGGTTTCTGAATACGAGCTGAGTGGCAAAATATTCTCTTACTGAAAATCGTATGCGATTCTTGTTGTAATGTCTTATTAACTACCTACAAAAAATAAAGGTAACTTAGAGTAGGTAATATATTCCAACAATTTTCAGTTTTCGAATGGCTGTTAGTATTTTTTATTGTACAAATGCTATTAAGTATTCCTGCCTTTAGGTAGCGCTTGTGAAGCGCTTCGTCAGGGTCAATATTCAAACAGGCTTCCGCAGAAAACAAGGAGCTATAATTGTTAAATGACAATCAAACAATCAAACAGTAGGTATGTAATCAAACGTTATATTAAAGAGTCGTCGAAAATAACAAAATTATCTAACTAAGATCGCAATCTTTTCGAGCTCAGAAAGGGCGCTTGTCTGCCTTATCTCTGACAGATAACAACACAACCAAACAAACAAGAGAGATAGTGAATAGCGCGATAGCAAATATTGCGGTATAGCAATGTCTAACGTCTGACACTAATCAGGTATATTAAAACCGCAAATCCGCAAAGCGCATTCAATGGAGCACAGCCATAGCACATCGGAAATAGA